AAACATAAATTCTTTTCCGTTTAGCACGAAAGTGCGACTCTTTTGTGTGTGATAAGAGAAACTCACTCTAGTAGACTCCTATCGTAGTGGCGCGAATCCCTCCCGACGGCCGGCGGCGAGTGTCCATCTGCTCAGAGTGTATTTTGACGAGCGAGTGATTCCAGAAATATAAGAACGCGGGGGCGCTCGTTACACGTGTCGCGAACATCTTGACAAAGTGAGAGCTACTATCATCTTTTTTCCCGGTTAATCTTCTCTCTTTGTTCGTTTGTTTCTCTGTATCACTTCTACCACCTCTGCCCACGTAGGCTCATCTGTTTCCCTCTCCTTCCCGATCGCTCTGCGGCACTGGAGCAGCCCTCCGCCCGCCTCATTTCATGCTGCTCCCGCGGCGCCCCGGGTTACCTTGCCGAGGAATTCCACGACGGCGAAGCCACAAGCCTAATGAAGCCTATCAACATACTTCGCGCAAGTTGGGGATCGCAACGGCATTGCTTGGGTCCCCGCGGGAATGCCCGCCTCCCCGCCCGCTTCCCCGCCCGGCCGCTGCGCCCTCCGTGAAAGCAGCTGCTCCTGATTTTGCTTCATGGCTTAGACATTTTCAGATATCCTTTTCATTGTCATTACTATTATAGTTGCTCCCATTATGGTTATTGCTCTCATCATCGATATCACCATTGTCATTTTATTACTGTCGCTACCATTATGACCACCACTGTTAGTCTCATATATATCAGTTGTACTGTCATTATCGTCATTACCATCATCAGCGGCAATATCATTATCACTGACAATAACTGTGATTATTATTACCTCTCGCCTTCCTGGCTTTGTGCATGGGCGAGCAGGTAGACGAAGGAAGGGAAGGTCACTTCTTAATATATTCATTGAGTTCCTGTCTACGATGTCTTAAGTCGCGGGCGCTGTGACAGGGCGGAATCGGTGCGCCCTTTTGGGGGAGTCTCCGTGATGGAAGGAGAGATCTGGCCTCGGCCAAGTCTTATTCTCCGCTTCTACTCTTTTGCGTCTTTTTCATCAATCTCAACTCCTTCTTCGCTCCTTTCTCACTTTTTTCCTACTCTCTTCTTCCTTCTCTTTCTCTTGTTTCTTTTTTATTTCCGTCCGTGCGCATTTTCCCAAACAATAAACATTTCCAAGGGCTGTCTGCACCGCAGCTTAGGATATATTCGCCCTCTTTTCCAGGCTGCTCTGCAAGTTTTCATCTTCTTTTTGGGTTAAAAAAGCATCTCGTTGCGGATTTGCCTCGCTGGATATTCATGCCAAGGAGACAAATGCAGCTCGAATCGCGTTTGTGCCGCGCCGGGGAGGAGCGCAGTCGATTTAGCTTTTGTTTTGGCGCGTTGTTTCTTCCTTAATGCCTGAATCTATCACGTAAAATAACAGATTCGTTATTCGGGGAATTAAAGTCTGGCATCTAAACAGCTGCAGCGTTTCTTCAACGTATTCAGGGTTGTAAATCCATTCGCAGGTTGATATGATGAGCTCATGGAATGATATTATTCAAGATCATAGTCACATGAAATTTAGCGGCACGGAATTAAATAATTAATTACACTCCTAGTAAATCATATCACTGTGTCTAAAACACTACCCATAAACAAGTCGAAAATGGAAAACAAAACAGTTTGATATGAGGCATAACAGTCCCACGTGACGGATTTTATACTGGCCATGTGATGTTCTATATTCCTTTAAGACACCTGTTTCCTATTAGTTACTGACTTAAAAGGTACACTCGATGTGTTTTTTGCGATCTACTCCTCACCAGGTAGCATGTATAGTATCACTCTGCAAATCTCTTAGAGACTGAGGCGAGCGAATGCCCAATGTATAGCACGTCGCCGCAAACAATCTCTGGGGAGTAAACACATTTGAATATCATTAAGCACCGTTTTCTTTAATTTCACTCCCGCCTTAAGATTCTGAAGGGGCGTCTAGCACCAGCTCTCGCTCGGCGTCCAGTTTTAATGTCTCTCGCCCTCGTTCTGTCTTTTTTTTTTACCTGTTAGCGAGTTCCGTTTGCCTTTCTGCGCTTATTGTTTCTCTCTCTCTCCGTCTATCTATCCATTTATTTATCTGTCTATCTGTATCCCTTTATCTCTCTCTCTCTCTCTTCTCTCTCTCTCTCTCTCTCTCTCTCTCTCTCTCTCTCTCTCTCTCTCTCTCTCTCTCTCTCTCTCTCTCTCTCTCTCTCTCTCTCTACTTATTTATCTATCCTTCTATCTACCTACCTACCTACCTACCTACCTATCTAGCTATCTAGCTATCTATGTTTATCTATCTATCTATCTATGTTTATCTATCTATCTATCTATGTTTATCTATCTATCTATCTATGTTTATCTATCTATCTATCTATCTGTCTGTCTGTCTGTCTGTCTGTCTGTCTGTCTGTCTGCCTGCCTGTCTGTCTGTCTGTCTGTCTGTCTATCTATCTATCTATCTATCTAACTATCTATCTATCTATCTGTCTCTCGGT